CCCCAAAACCCCAAAACCCCAAAACCCCAAAACCCCAAAACCCCAAAACCCCAAAACCCCTTCAAAATCCCAAAATATTGAAAATTTTACTCTTTATCATCTTCACTCCATAACTTCGAAATTTGTGGAAACAGTCAGATTGTCACTCAGCCTACAGTTGTGATTCTTTAGATTACCTAGGATGCCAAGAAGGGCTGCTAACACTTCGATTATATTCGGATATACTCCCATGAACACCATGTCAAGAATAGTCATGATGATTACCTGCATGTTTTCAAGCGAGAGCACTGGGCCTGCAAGGCCCAGTGTTAATGCTTTGTTCACACAAAGAAATGCAATGGCTATTATAACCCCCCTGATGCAGCTATGGTCACGTACTCAGTGAAGATGAATGGGTGAGAACCTGAAGCATATATTTTAATAGTAATAATCGTGTAGCCAATATTTCAGATTGCGAACATTCATGCTGTGATAATGAATGGATCTAAATTATGCTTTTCTGAGAAATATCTAGCCGTCATCCCTGCGCTAGAAAACCAAATTGGTCATAAACAAGCAAGCATGATGGAAAGGATAGAATAAAGAGTAGTATTTTCTGTGCTTGTTGTTTCATGCTTCTTGGATTTTTGGCCTAGTGATAAGCCAATTATTCAACAGAGGATCATGCCCATTCCTACAACCTAAACATTTGATTTTATCTTACATGGTAAATTTTTAATCGATCTCCGAATAAAAAGTATGCAAATATTGCTGAGTATACTGCTGCCATGCCAAATAGACTAGTTAAGATTCCTTGGTTGATATCGGCATACAGAGCAAAACTGAATGTGAAATAGACAGAGAAACCTGCTCAGAGAATTATAGCTGAGTATAATAACACTCCAGTCAAGTTTTTCCAATGAAATTTGCCTGTTTCTATGTCCCTGAAGTTGCTTTTCTGCCAGCTCCAGTATGTTTCTCCTTCTATAGAGTTAGAAAATTCACAGTACTAATCCTTGCTGATATGGCTGAATAAAGAGTGATTCACAGAATAACTGGATATTATAAACATGAAGATACCGAAAAATGCTCCATTCTCTTGGATACTCCTAGATAGGAAACCAATCTTGGCATGACTTCCCATGACAAAATTGGCCATTCCAAATAAACTGCCTGCAAGGATCCCGTACAGAAGACTGAAGCCTTGACTTCTTTGGCTCTTTGATGTCTGAATTGCCTGTTTTGGCTCTTCAGAACTCCTCTCAAGTCTTTGAGAGGTATCAACTTCAAAAGGTTGGTACTTCATTTATCTTTATTATAACCTTCAAATTTAAAAATTCAGAGTGGGGTTTTGGGGTTTTGGGGTTTTGGGG